TGAGGGGTCCTGTGAGGATCCAGGGTGTAGTGAGGGTCCAGGGTGTAGTGAGGGTCCAGGGTGTAGTGTGGGTCCAGGGTGTAGTGAGGGTCCAGGGTGTAGTGAGGGTCCAGGGTGTAGCGAGGGTCCAGGGTGTAGCGAGGGGTCCTGTGAGGGTCCAGGGTGTAGCGAGGGGTCCTGTGAGGGTCCAGGGTGTAGTGTGGGGTCCTGTGAGAGTCCAGGTTGTATTGAGGGTCCAGGGTGTAGTGAGGGGATCTGTGAGGGTCCAGGGTGTAGTGAGGGTCCAGGGTGTAGTGAGGGTCCAGGGTGTAGCGAGGGTCCAGGGTGTAGTGAGGGTCCAGGGTGTAGCGAGGGTCCAGGGTGTAGCGAAGGGTCCTGTGAGGGGTCCAGGGTGTAGCGAGGGGTCCTGTGAGGGTCCAGGGTGTAGTGAGGGGACCTGTGAGGGTCCAGGGTGTAGTGTGGGGTCCTGTGAGAGTCCAGGGTGTAGTGAGGGACCAGGGTGTAGCGAGGGTCCAGGGTGTAGTGTGGGTCCAGGGTGTAGTGAGGGGATCTGTGAGGGTCCAGGGTGTAGTGAGGGACCAGGGTGTAGCGAGGGTCCAGGGTGTAGTGAGGGGTCCTGTGAGGATCCAGGGTGTAGTGAGGGTCCAGGGTGTAGTGAGGGTCCAGGGTGTAGTGTGGGTCCAGGGTGTAGTGACGGTCCAGGGTGTAGTGAGGGTCCAGGGTGTAGCGAGGGTCCAGGGTGTAGCGAGGGGTCCTGTGAGGGTCCAGGGTGTAGCGAGGGGTCCTGTGAGGGTCCAGGGTGTAGTGAGGGGACCTGTGAGGGTCCAGGGTGTAGTGTGGGGTCCTGTGAGAGTCCAGGGTGTATTGAGGGTCCAGGGTGTATTGAGGGTCCAGGGTGTAGTGAGGGTCCAGGGTGTAGTGAGGGGATCTGTGAGGGTCCAGGGTGTAGTGAGGGACCAGGGTGTAGCGAGGGTCCAGGGTGTAGTGTGGGTCCAGGGTGTAGCGAGGGTCCAGGGTGTAGTGAGGGGACCTGTGTGTGTCTAGGGTGTAGTGAGGGACCAGGGTGTAGCGAGGGGTCCAGGGTGTAGAGGGGGTCCAGGGTGTAGTGAGGGTCCAGGGTGTAGTGAGGGTCCAGGTTGTAGTGAGGGTCCAGGGTGTAGTGAGGGTCCAGAGTGTAGCAAGGGGTCCTGTGAGGGTCCAGGGTGTAGCGAGGGGTCCTGTGAGGGTCCAGGGTGTAGCGAGGGGTCCTGTGAGGGTTCAGGGTGTAGTGAGGGGACCTGTGAGGGTCAAGGGTGTAGTGTGGGGTCCTGTGAGAGTCCAGGGTGTAGTGAGGGTCCAGGGTGTAGTGAGGGTCCAGGGTGTAGTGAGGGGACCTGTGAGGGTCCAGGGTGTAGTGAGGGGACCTGTGAGGGTCCAGGGTGTAGCGAGGGGACCTGTGTGTGTGTCTAGGGTGTAGTGAGGGACCAGGGTGTAGCGAGGGGTCTTGTGAGGGTCCAGGGTGTAGTGAGGGGATCTGTGAGGGTCCAGGATGTAGTGTGGGGTCCTGTGAGGGTCCAGGGTGTAGTGAGGGGACCTGTGAGGGTCCAGGGTGTAGCGAGGGTCCAGGGTGTAGTGAGGGACCAGGGTGTAGCGAGGGTCCAGGGTGTAGTGAGGGAACCTGTGTGTGTAGGGTGTAGTGAGGGTCCAGGGTGTAGTGAGGGTCCAGGGTGTAGTGAGGGTCCAGGGTGTAGTGAGGGTCCAGGGTGTAGTGAGGGACCTGTGTGTAGGTTAGGTAGGGTTGGTTGAGTTCGGTCATATATCTACATTAGTTTTAACTAAAAAAAAAATAACTCATACATAATGAAATGGATAGATTTATCATTTCATAAGAAAAAAAATGAAAAATATATAAATTCAGGAAAACTTGGCTTATTAGACAAATCGAGCCTTGCATAGTAGGCTGAGTATTGCATTATGGCTACTAGGTACAGCATCATATATATATATATATATATATATATATATATATATATATATATATATATATATATATATATATATATATATATATATATATAAAGAGTTTGTGAGGGTACCACCTCTGGTGCCAATGTGGGGACCCATAGCCTCGGAGAAGAAAATAAAAAGTATTCAGAGGTTTCTCACTGAACACTAATATTATCCTCTCCTACCACCCCCATTCTTTTGTATGTACACATATATATTTACTTTATTTTAACTTTGTTACAAAAAAGGAGTTACATATGGGTTACAAAGATGGTTATCATAGGTTGTCTAGTTCCTCCAGCTCCTCAGATGGCGGGCAGGAACCCTGGATGCAGTCCACCTCACTCAAATGTAGATATAAACAAAATCGATGTGTAAGTTCTATTCAGTTGTGTATTTGTAAACTAAAGTCTTTGAAAATGTAATAAGTTTTACGAAACGCGCTCAAGTGTCGCGTCAGACTAGAAATAAAAATGAATTTTGGAGAATTGATTTTTGAATTACCTTCAACAGTGAAAAGAAATGTACGAAAGATTGAGAAAATTCGTGTTAGAATTATTAATCTTACTTTTTCGGTCATATTTAATAATATATGTCTACAGGAAAGACTGCTACCAAAATATATATATATATATATATATATATATATATATATATATATATATATATATATATATATATATATAATATAATATAATATAATATAATATGTATTATGCGGCCCTGAGGGGGTTGGGCTTTTACGGCTTAAACCTCCAAAAGAGAGCTCTGGTTGTTGCACCAGATTGTTACTTGTGTACTGGCAGACAAAGTCTCCAACCACTCCCTGACGGAACAGTCAACCGATCTCGGCAACCACACTCCCGCTACCGTTGGGCAACCAGCTATGAACACTGGAGTGCTTATAATTTACTTGGGAGATCACCCTGTACGCCTGTTGATCTTGGATCAAGATGAGTACACCCTACTCGAGCCGCCGTGACTCCCCACTTTCTCCTTGTTTGAAATGATCTAAAGCTTTCTTTCATGAATTAGTATCTTCTGCCACCCTGTCCGCAGCTGTGACCCCCCTCTCTCTCTCTCTCTCTCTCTCTCTCTCTCTCTCTCTCTCTCTCTCTCTCTCTCTCTCTCTCTCTCTCTCTCTCTCTCTCTCTCTTCCCCCGCTTTCTGGGAGACTTCACCAGGATAAGAGCAAAGGCCAGTTAACATCATTTAATATACAAAGATGACATACACAATATATAACATACAAAATAGAACATTATCATACAGCGCTTTAAACTGCAACAACGAGGTCGCATTTCAATATCATATCCTGACGTCACCAACTGTCCATATCAAGAGGCTGCCCAACTCTTGGCTTACCACTTACTACTTCACTAAAAGGGCTGAAATCCTGTCACAACAATACTGTATTCTCAGCCCTAAAAGTATATGAAACTCAGCTTGAGGCTGAAACACCAGAAACATCTACATAAGTATCCCCCAACAAAAGAAATCAATCTCTCGCCTTACACTGTGACTTACATGCCAATAAGCATTCAAGCACTCACCTTATATATTCATATATGTCCACCATGAATCTCTGTTCTGCTCGTAGAGGCTCACTACAAATATATATCTCTAGGTTCTCCAAAATATCAGGAAAGGCACTTCTGCACTTCTCCCAATCTGCTGCACACCGAAGTCCTAGTCGAACATCGGTGAGGCTTCACCACTGATTCCACAGAGACACGTGTAGCTCCCCTACACTGCTTGAGGTCAACTCCTCACTATGGAGTTGCGCATGTGTGGAGAGCTTGTATCACCATATGACATGTGTGGAGAGCTTGTATCACCATATGACATGTGTGGAGAGCTTGTATCACCATATGACATGTGTGGAGAGCTTGTATCACCATATGACATGTATGGAGAGCTTGTATCACCATATGACATGTGTGGAGGGCTTGTATCACCATATGACATGTGTGGAGAGCTTGTATCACCATATGACATGTGTGGAGGGCTTGTATCACCATATGATTATCCTTCACACCGCCCCTCCCCCCCCCCCTGCAGTGGGCAGCGGTGGATAGGTTACAATCACTCAGTAAAAATGGTATAAAGGAAGACTTGCAAAGGTTCCTGCAAGCTGTACTAGATCAACTGAGGTGTAACCTGCTAGCTGCAATAGCTTCCCTGATCAAGAGGCCGGCAGTGGATAGCCGAATTGCTCTAGAAGAATAACTCTCAGACTCTGCCACAGGTAAAGTATTCCAATCTCCACAAGTTTCTCCAAAATGGTTCAGATGAAGCTATGCCAATGTGCCTGAAGGGGTACTGACGGCTGAGTGGACAGCGCTCGGGGTTCGTAGTGCTAAGGTCCCGGGTTCGATCCCCAGCGGAGGCAGAAACAAATGGGCTGAGTTTTTCACCCTGATGCCCCTGTTCACCTAGCAGTAAACAGGTACCAGGCAGTTAGACAGCTACTACGGGCTGCTTCCAGGGGATGTGTAACAAAAATGAGGCCTAGTCGAAGACCGGGCCGCGGGGACGCTAAGCCCCGAAATCATCTCAAATCGAAATCAAATCATCTCAGGAAGATGTGTCTTCGCACGCGTGAGGGACGGCCTGCCTTACCTTGAAGTGCTTCCGGGGCTTAGCTTCCCCGCGGCCCGGTCCTCGACCAGACCTCCTGGTCGACCACGCCTGGCCACACAACCAATCACAACAAACCGTTCGAAGGATGATTTAAACACACCTACATCCTCCCCCCCCCTCCACTACCCCAGCCAATCTACCATATATCGTCCACAAATCGTATCTACCATATACGGGTGACACATCGCGGGTCGCCATCCCGGGTCCAGGTAAGAGGCTCTCAACATTTCCTGCCCGGGGGCCGCCGTAAACCTCATGCTGCCATCCCCGTGCTATCAAGAACATTATTTACGGGCCGAGGCAAGGGTTTATCTCCCACGAGGGGATAACGAGAAACGATGGCAATACGCCTGATATCATGCAGACGCGCGTTACGTGCGTAAAACGGCAGTAAACGCCGTGATCGAACTAGCGTAGAAATGTTGTGTGGTGACGCTGTAGAGGCGAGTGTGGCGCCGCTGTAGAGGCGAGTGTGACGCCGCTGTAGAGGCGAGTGTGGCGCCGCTGTAGAGGCGAGTGTGGTGACGCTGTAGAGGCGAGTATGGTGCCGCTGTAGAGGCGAGTGTGGTGACGCTGTAGAGGCGAGTGTGGTGACGCTGTAGAGGCGAGTGTGGTGCCGCTGTAGAGGCGAGTGTGGTGACGCTGTCGAGGCGAGTGTGGCGCCGCTGTAGAGGCGAGTGTGGTGCCGCTGTAGAGGCGAGTGTGGTGACGCTGTAGAGGCGAGTGTGGTGACGCTGTAGAGGCGAGTGTGGTGCCGCTGTAGAGGCGAGTGTGGTGACGCTGTAGAGGCGAGTGTGGTGACGCTGTAGAGGCGAGTGTGGTGCCGCTGTAGAGGCGAGTGTGGTGCCGCTGTAGAGGCGAGTGTGGTGACGCTGTAGAGGCGAGTGTGGTGACGCTGTAGAGGCGAGTGTGATGACGCTGTAGAGGCGAGTGTGGCGCCGCTGTAGAGGCGAGTGTGGCGCCGCTGTAGAGGCGAGTGTGGCGCCGCTGTAGAGGCGAGTGTGGCGCCGCTGTTGAGGCGAGTGTGGCGCCGCTGTAGAGGCGAGTGTGGCGCCGCTGTAGAGGCGAGTGTGGCGCCGCTGTTGAGGCGAGTGTGGTGCCGCTGTAGAGGCGAGTGTGGTGACGCTGTAGAGGCGAGTGTGGTGACGCTGTCGAGGCGAGTGTGGCGCCGCTGTAGAGGCGAGTGTGATGACGCTGTTGAGGCGAGTGTGGCGCCGCTGTAGAGGCGAGTGTGGCGCCGCTGTAGAGGCGAGTGTGGCGCCGCTGTAGAGGCGAGTGTGGCGCCGCTGTAGAGGCGAGTGTGGCGCCGCTGTAGAGGCGAGTGTGGCGCCGCTGTGATGGGTGCCCGGGAGAACTGCTCTCATAGTGTGATTGTTGTTGTTGTTGCTAAAGATTCGCTATCTGGACGAAAAAGTTCCAAGTAGCACGGGCTATGGCGAGCCCGTAGTTCATAGTGGGAGATCCAGGCCGTGCAATTATTTAGGGCGTGCCTAACAGCCACAACCGCACTTCTTGGCCTAGTATGCAACGTCCAATGTGCCTAACAGGCAGAATGATTTTCGTTATTTTCAAATATTTCTTTCCAGATTGCTTCTTTTCTAACAATAATAATCTATTGTATTAGGAACTTGGATAACTGACTTAGGTTAAGTTAGGTTTGGTGTGATCAAATTTCTATGTTCTGACTCAACAAAGTTACAATCATATGTACTATCATTTCATAAGAAAAAAATGTGTACTTACCTAGTTGTATTCACCTAGTTGTGCTTGCGGAGGTTGAGCTTTGCTCTTTCCGCCCGCCTCTCAATTTTCAATCAACTGTTACTAACTAATATTCCCCCCTCCCCCCCAAACACACACCTAGGAAGCAGCTCCCAAACAGCTATCTAACTCCCAGGTACCTATTTACTGCTAGGTAACGGGGGCATTCAGGGTACCTGGTTACCTGGTTGATACCTGGTTGATGGGGTTCTGGGAGTTCTTCTACTCCCCAAGCCCGGCCCGAGGCCAGGCTCGACTTATGAGAGTTTGGTCCACCAGGCTGTTGCTTGGAGCGGCCCGCACTCCCACATACCCACCACAGCCCGGTTGGTCCGGCACTCCTTGACGGAAACAATCTAATTTCCTCTTGAAGATATCTACGCAGACGAAAAAAACTTTACCTATTTGTTCCTGCCTAGTCCGGGAATCGAACCAGGGCCACAGAATAAAGAGTCCTGCGCGCTTTCCAGTCAGCTACCAGACCCCCGTGTGTGTACTCACCTAGTTGTGTCTGCAGGATCGAGCATTGACTCTTGGATCCCGCCTTTCCAGCAATCGGTTGTTTACAGCAATGACTCCTGTCCCATTTCCCTATCATACCTAGTTTTAAAAGTATGAATAGTATTTGCTTCCACAACCTGTTCCCCAAGTGCATTCCATTTTTCCACTACTCTCACGCTAAAAGGAAACTTCCTAACATCTCTGTGACTCATCTGAGTTTCCAGTTTCCACCCATGTCCCCTCGTTCTGTTATTATTACGTGTGAACATTTCATCTATTTCCACTTTGTCAATTCCTCTGAGTATTTTATATGTCCCTATCATATCTCCTCTCTCCCTTCTTTTCTCTAGTGTCGTAAGGTTTAGTTCCTGCAGACGCTCTTCACATCCCATCCCTCGTAACTCTGGAACAAGCCTCGTCGCAAACCTCTGGACCTTCTCCAGTTTCTTTGTGTTTCTTCAGGTGGGGGCTCCATGATGGCGCGGCATACTCTAAGACGGGTCTCACGTAGGCAGTGTAAAGCGCCCTAAAAGCCTCCTCATTTAGGTTTCTGAATGAAGTTCTAATTTTCGCCAGTGTAGATTACGCTGCTGTCGTTATCCTATTTATATGTGCCTCAGGAGTTAGATTAGGTGTCACATCTACTCCCAGGTCTCTTTCTTGAATCGTTGCAGGTAGGCTGTTCCCCTTCATTGTGTACTGTCCCTTTGGTCTCCTATCACCTGATCCCATTTCCATAACTTTACATTTACTGGTGTTAAACTCCAGTAGCCATTTCCCTGACCATCTCTGCAACCTGTTTAAGTCCTCTTGGAGGATCCTACAATCCTCGTCTGTCACAACTCTTCTCATTAATTTTGCGTCATCCGCAAACATTGACATGTATGATTCCACTCCTGTAAACATATCATTTACGTAAATTAGAAAGAGGATTGGTCCCAGCACCGATCCTTGAGGTACTCCACTTGTTACTGTTCGCCAGTCCGACTTCTCGCCCCTTACCATTACCCTCTGGCTCCTTCCTGTTAGGTAGTTCTTCACCCATACTAGGGCCTTTCCGCTTACTCCTGCCTGCCTCTAAAGTTTGTATAGCAGTCTCATGTGCGGTACTGTATCAAAGGCCTTTTGGCAGTCAAGAAATATGCAGTCTGCCCAGCCTTCTCTGTCCTGCCTTATCCTTGTTACTTTATCATAGAATTCTAAAAGGTTTGTTAGGCATAATTTCCCTGTCCAGAACCCATGTTGGTGCTTGTTTACAAACTCAATGCTCTCCAGGTGCTCAACAAGTCTTAGCCTAATTATTCTTTCAAGTATTTTGCAGGGGATGCTTGTCAGTGATACGGGTCTGTTGTTAAGTGCCTCCTCCCTATCACCTTTCTTGAAAATCGGTACGACATTTGCCTCCTTCCAGCAACTGGGCAATTCTCCCGACATAAGTGACTCATTAAAGATCATTGCCAGAGGCACGCTGAGAGCCTGCGCTGCCTCTTTTAGTATCCACGGTGATACTTTGTCTGGTCCAACAGCTTTATTTGCATCCAGTGTTGTCAACTGTTTCATTACCTCCTCTGCTGTCACCTCTATATCTGATAGTCTTTCATCTTGGGTAATCGCTTCTAACACTGGGAGCTGCTCAGGCTCGGTTGTGAACACTCCATGGAATTTTGCATTCAGTACCTCGCAGATTTCCTTGTCGCTTTCTGTATATGCCCCTTCTGTTTTCCTCAGTCTTGTCACTTGGTCATTTACCGACATCTTCCTTCTTATATTGCTATGTTGTAGTTTAGGTTGCTTTTTCGCTTTGACTGCAATATCATTCTCATAATTTCTTTCCGACACTCGTCTTATGTTAATGTAATCATTCCTAGCTCTGTTACATCTAATCCTGTTGTCCTCTGTCCTTTGTCTTCTGTACTTCCTCCCCTCCCTCCTGCTTCTCACCTTTGCTTCCTGACACTGTCTATTAAACCATGGGTTATTATATTCCATCCTGCTTTTTTCCTTTATTGTTGGAATAAATCTTTCTTCAGCCTCCTTGCATTTCAATATGACTTGGTTCATCATACCTTGCACTGTTTTTCCTCTAAGTTCTTCCTCCCACTGCACTTCTCCCAGGTAGTCCCTTATCCTTCTGTAGTCCCCTTTTCTGTAATCAAGTCTCCTTTCCCGGACCTCTTGTCCTTTGGTCACAATTTTAAACTCCATCATGTAGTCAAAGACTAGGACACAATGGTCACTGGCTCCTAGTGGTATTTCATGTTCCAACTGCTCGATGTCTTCTACATTCTGGGTGAAAATGAGATCTAATAGGCTGGGCGTATCCCCTCCTCTTTCCCTAGTATCTTCCTTCACATGCTGTGTTAGGAAATTCCTGTCAATAACGTCTACCAGCTTCGCTCCCCAGGTCTCCACCCCGCCATGGGGATTCCTCGTTTCCCAATCTATCTGTCCGTGATTTAGGTCCCCCATGACCAGCAGCTTCGCTCTCATTCTATGTGCTATAGTTGCTGCCCTCTGCAGTTCATCTATACGTGTGTGTGTGTGTGTGTGTGTGTGTGTGTGTGTGTGTGTGTGTGTGTGTGTGTGTGTGTGTCTGAATCATGGTTCAAGGTGGTGGATTAAACAAGGTGTTTTAATACTATAATTGTTCCTTACGTTTATAATTCCTTAAACGAAAATCTGCACATATTTCCATACAGTGAGTACTAGAGAACATGTTTGATTAGTTTGTTATCAAGTAATATCCCGAGAAGGTAGTCAATGATATTGTTTTGCCTGGTTGGTAATGACCTAAGGTTAGTTGTAGGGCGACCTGGCCAGCTTACTGGCCAGTGAGGGATGACAATGATACATCCCTCAATGGTCTGAGGCAATTCGACTCTGGCAGAACGTGTCTTATTGAGCTATATAATATAATATGGAGTCACACTGCGCTCATGGAAAGGTGGCAGGCAATTGGCATGGGACTACACTTGTGTATCCACCTTGGCATCCACTTACATCACCCTCTCTGTTGGCCAAGCAGGACCCGCTGGCATACACACACACACACACAGAAAACCAACAAGTACAGGGACATAGATCACCGGTTGAACTTTGCTCCTATAGGATCCGAGACCCTTGGTCCATGGGGAGAGAGTCTAAGGAAGTTTCTTAAGGATCTGGGTTCTAAGCTAATAGAAACAACAAGGGACTCTCGAGCGGCAAGCTTTTTTTCCAGCGACTCAGCGTGGCGATCCAGAGTGGGAATGCCACGGAGTTTAAAGAAATCTACAGTCTTTAGAGAACAAACTCCCTTTCCTTTCCTCTCAGTGTTCACATTTTGTAACTCTTCAGTTGTGTAACTGTTTAACCTTGCCTAATAAAGTATATAATGAAAATATATACGGGTCGTAGGAGAAGCAAACACACTAATGAATTTAGAGTCAAACAATAAGTTATTCTCTGAATGCCTTTTATTCCCATCTCCAAGGCTATGGGTCCACCACAATTGCAACAAAGTATCGCTATATATTTATTTAACAGGGTACCCAAGCAGGGTTAGGTCAGAATTTAGATATATTGTAAAAATATCATTATCATGATATTATCAGTGTATCACATTTAGTTGACTTACACATTGACATATCAGTAGTCAGTAATCACTGAATACTGAGTAATCAGTCATCACTGACTAATCACTTTGTGTGTTCCATCGTGTTCTCCAAGTTGGTAGTGTGTAATAGTGGAGATACAGCCATAACAGAACACTGGACACCGACGAGGGCAGTATACACATCCAACATCCACGCCATCCTGTGTTCCCGGGTTCGATCCCGGGTGCCGGTGAGAAACAATGGGCAGAGTTTCTTTCACCCTATGCCCCTGTTACCTAGCAGTAAAATAGGTACCTGGATGTTAGTCAGCTGTCACGGGCTGCTTCCTGGGGGTGGAGGCCTGGTCGAGGACCGGGCCGCGGGGACACTGAAGCCCCGAAATCATCTCAAGATAACCTCAAGAAGATGCAATGGACCTATTTGCCCATAAGTGAGGAGCTTCATCTTCACCTCATCCTCGGCTATATATCCGGGAGTAGGAAACTTTGTGACACGGGCTATTCATG